CTTCAATTCACTTCAGTTATTCAATTCACTTCAATTCACTTCAGTTATTCAATTCACTTCAATTCACTTCAACAAGAGAATAATTATGAAAGCTATCGAAATAGAGAAATACCCTCCACAACATGAATAAACATGACGATACCTCCCACCTACCAGACATTTGGAAACCAGCCCTAGTCAACAAATGAGCCCCACCCATCACCCAGGCTGATAAAACACAAAACAACAATGGACACACAGCCAGCACCAATCAGCACCAATCTACCAATCATGATACAACCATACAGCCAATCAATCCACTTACTGAAACAAAGCCACACACCCCCACCAAGATTTATAGAAATCTATCTACTATATATATAGTAGATAGATATCAGGTCAAAAGGGTTGGGCAAACAAAATTGTAGAAACTCATAAAGTTTGTGTCTGTTTTGCAAGGGTGGGAACTACTATTCTTGAAATATATTTACAAGCATTCAACTGGGGGTGAGGTCAATTTATGTGTATGGTTTTTTTCTTTTTATGCACATTTTTGCAGTTATATTCTCCTCTTTTTTGTTTTGTCTAGTTTTGCTTTGTTTTTGTATTTTCTTTTTTCCTTTTTTGGAATTTGTATTTTAATGTTCTGAATAAAAAGTAAAAATATTGAAAATAAAGAGAAAAATATCTGTACATAACAGCATAACAGTCACTATAAAGTCACTATAAAGCATGTCAAAGCTAGAAATATAGCTATAAAAGTTCATCATACTCACATTGAGCTGTTTAACAAATGTCACACCTTCACAAGTGGTACTGCGGCACCCTTGTGAGGAATAGATAGATGTGTTGAACACATCATATGTAGCACTTACATTGACAGTCATGTTGTTTTCTGTAACAAAAATGCAAATAGAATACTGAATTGTAAGATAAATTTTAAATGATAAAAAATCTACTGAACTGTAAAATAATTTAATAAAATAATATGTAACACAATAATTTCAATAAGGATTTATAGCTATTTTATTGTATTGTGTGTTTCCACTATATATACATACATTGTAGATCTTCTATATTTGAAATAAATGGAATAGAACATGGGAATTTTAATCGAACTCTACCACTGTACTATGGAAATTTATTATACTTTCTGTCTCATTCTTTTGATGTGGCAAAATTTGCAGATAGAGAACTGTCTTCAAAACAGCTAAATACAATTTAAAGCCTGAATGCTGTTAGTCTTATTTTAAAACAATAGGTGAGTAGTATTTAAGGCAAACGCTTATATCTAAAGAATTTATTTGCAAAATTTTCAACCAAAGTTTCCAAAGCTGCTCTCCTCCTAATGTTTGGAATTAAATTCCCACCATAAATAGTCTGTTCTGCCATAATATTACTATCATAAGCACTAAGCAACAAGCAGTCTCGATAATGAGCAATAATCCATTTTAATATAGCAGTTGTAAGATCAATTACAACTGATATCACATGAAAGAAAAATAGTTACAGCACAAATTGCATTCTCAGTGACATAAATTTGAGAAACGAAATTAGCAGGTATCCTGTATATTTGTGCTGTAATCTGGACCTGTATCGTTACCAAATTGTAGTATTTTAAATATTTTGCATAATACTAAACATATTAGATTACATAAATTGTATTTCGATGTTATGCTTCAAAATGTTTGTTTTTAAAATAAAGATGACTTTGAAAAATATTATGAATTATGATTCATTAAAACCAACCCTGAACCCACATAAAAGCTGTTAGGGCAGCTTTTGGTTTAAACTGTATCGATCAATTATTGATAGCTACCGAAAACTATTAGAGCAATGCAATTAACATTCTTACCTTTCAGAATTTTATTCACGATTCTGAGCCCCAGTTCTACAGTTGGTTTTAAGTTCTCTGATATCACTGGATTATCAAAGTCATTTAGCATCATTACATTGATCACATATTCATCTTCCCCACACTTGGTTTCACTAGTGTGCCACAGCAGCTGATTCAAGAGAAATGATGTTCCCACAAGCTGATACATCATTGTTGCCTTATTATACTTTGTACTGGCACTTGGCATATTTTAACCAGGAGCGTCTGCCTTATGCCTAGCACTCTGTTCAACTTTCCTTTTTTAAAATGGGTCCTTTTGTTCTTTTCGGTGCTTCTTTTTCACTCCACGCCCATTTGCCTTACCTGTCACCTCTGTTGTGAACAATTAACAGGAGCAGAACTCATGAAGATGGGAAGAGACCAAAGGTTATTTTTCATGTTTGCTGTAGAGAACATGTAAGCTATAAAACTGGGGCATTAGCCACACCTCACCAGATAAGCATTCAATATGATTCACAAGAAAAAAAGAGAAGAGCCAATAACATTATTTTTTTT